TCAAGAGAGCAAACCAAGGCTCTCTAGCAGAACATCTTAAGTACCTAATGACACCACAAATCCCAAAAGTGTAACCAAACTGATACAACTGGTATTGTACGGATGCGCTCAGAAAGGGCCTTGCAAATGCATGCTCTGCACTCCAATTCCCTTGTGTTGTTTTTCAGGAGAAAAACTCTTGAAAAAAATGGAATACAAGTACGATGATTTTATCCTATTCTCCAAACAGGAATTGTGGGAGGCAATGACCCTTCACAGATGTTTACCTTCAGGAGAATAAAGGGTGTGATGACATTGTAGGCCATGTGGAAATAGTCTCCGGCACTCGGCTTATTCAGCGGAAACCATTCCAGGGGAAGCACGATCTGGAAGGAAGGCAGAAAGAGGAAGGTGGATGAGTCCCATCCCAAACTAAGCAGAGGATTTTCTTTTATGCTGGAGGTTTGGTCCCTTTCAACAGCGATTAATGCAAACTTAGGGCTGGTGCCATGTCCCAAGTGGGAAAGGCAAATAAATCTCTAATGGGGAGGGAAAGGAGCTTCCTAAGGGAGGATCAGCAGGCCTAGGAGGCTAAGCAGCTTAGGCACTCCTTGGCAGGGATGGCGACTTACAGCAGATGGTGCCTTTGAATGGGAGAATGGATACTTGCTCAGTATTTCATTTGGAATATCCAGATTTCAAAGAATCCTAGAGTTGGGAGGGATCCCAAAGGCCATCCAGTCCACCCCTTTTGCCATAACAGATAGAGAGAAACCTAGAGTTGGAAGAAGCCCCAAAGACCATCCAGTTCAACCCCTTTCTTCCAGGAAAGAAAAGCACAATCAAAGCCCTTCTGACAGATGGTCATTCAACCTAATATAAATTAGTGGGTTCATTGAGAAATAGGGCTATAGAATCAAAGACTCCTAGTTAGAAGGGCTCCAAATGCCACCCTGTCCAACCCCCTTTTGCCATAATAAATATAAATAGATAGAGACATGGGTAGATAGAATCGAGAGTTGGAAGGGGCCCCAAAGGCCATCCAGTCCAACCCCCTTTTGCCACAATAGATATAGACAGATAGGCAGGCAGATAGAATTCTAGAGTTGGAAAAGGTTCCAAAGGCCATCCAGTCCAACTCCCTTTTGCCATAATAGATATAGACAGAAAGACAGATAGAATTCTATAGTTGGAAGAGGCTCCAAAGGCCATCCAATCTAACCCTCTTGCCGTAATGGATGGATAGATAGAATCTTAGAATTGGAAGGGGTCCCAAGGCCATCCAGTCCAACCCCCTTTTGCCATAATAAATATAGACAGAAAGACAGACATAGAATTCTAGAGTTGGAAGGGGCCCCAAAGGCCATCCAGTCCAACCCCCTTTTGCCATAATGTGTCCCCTTCTTCTTGGTTCCTTTTCTCAAAGCTAACGCTGTCCCCCAAACATGATAAAAACTGTGGGACTCACCATGGCGATGGGCCGGCCGAAATCCAGGACCCAGTTCTGCAGCGTGAAATAGAACCACAGGTCGAAGTGGAAGCGGGGGGCTTTGCAGGGGCCATCCTCCGCGCCTGCCCCATGCCTGCGGGAGGAAAGAGAGAGGCCAAAATGACCCGCTGGGTCTAACCAGACCCTAACTAATGGGGCATCTACACAGCTTAGCAGAGCTTTCCAAACTTTTCATGTTGGTGACACATCATTGTAGACAACGCCTCCTTTCGCAACATGGCAATTCAATTTTACTAGGAAAATTGAAGTTAAACCAATCCCTTATTAGAGTTTCATTATTGTGTGTGTATGTGTGTATGTATGTACATATATCGTGTGTGCGCGCGTGCGCGCGTGTGTGTGTGTGTGTGTATATATATATATATATATATATATATATATATATATATATATATACATACACACATACACATACACACACACACACAAGCCGTCCCCTGCCACACATTGCTGTGGCCCCGTATGTGTATTGTGTGTGTATCTATGTGTAAATATATGGTTTTGCACATGAATTGCAATGTATTTTTTATTTTTTGGTTTTTTAAGTCCCTTCTGCTGTGCTTTTCAGTGTTTTTATGAGTGATGGTCACTCATTGGCCTGATAGGTGTCTTGTGTCCAAATTTGGTGTCAATTCATCCAGTGGTTTTTGAGTTATGTTAATCCCACAAATGAACATTACATACACACACACACACACACACACACACACACACACAAGCTGTCCCCTGCCACACGTTGCTGGGGCCCTGTCTGTGTATATGTGTTTTGTGTGTGTATATTTTTGTGTATGTGTGTATATATGCGTGTTTGCATATATATGTGATTTTGCGAATGTGTTTTAATGGGTTTTTTTTTTGCTTTTTAAGTATCTTCTGTGTTTTTCAGTGTTTTATGAGTGATGGTCATTCGTTGGTCTGATAGGTGTATTGTGTCCAAATTTGGTGTCAATCTGTCCAGTGGTTTTTGAGTTATGTTAATCCCACAAACGAATATTACATTTATATATATGTATATGTATGTATGTGTGTGTGTGTATACACACACACAGACAGACAGACAGACAGATAGGCAGTCAGACAGATAGATCTACATGTACACACACACACACACACACACACACATATATATTTGGCTGGAGTTACAGTTTAAAAAGGTCCCTGTTCCAACTTACATACAAATTCAGCTTAAGAACAAACCTACAGAATCTTGTTTGTAACTTGGGGACAGCCATAATATAATATAATATGATATGATATGATATAATCTTTACTGTATAAAAGAGGTTTGGTTCCCCCCCCCCCCACGCTTCTTATGCCCTACCGTTGATTCCTATGTCGTTTCCTCTAGAGCTGCTCCATCACAAACATCATTATCAACACATTTTGTAAATGAGACACTTTATCCATTTTAGTGTTAATTACTGCAAGGCAATCAACAGATTGTGCAAATTATAAGCGTTTTAACAGTCCCTACACTTGAACAGCACCAGCACTCTGCTTCTGTAGGGATTGAACCTCTCCAGAGGTTTTAAAACAAAGACTGGATGACCATCTGTCGGAGTGATTTAATTCTATCTTCCTGCCTAATCAGGGGTCGGACTGGATGCCCTTTGGAGTCCTGACTCTAGGACATTTTATAGCCCTATTTCTCCACGAGCCTGCTAATGTTTATGAGGCTGATGGCCATCTGCCAAGGGTGCTTTGATTGTGCTTTTCCTGCCATGGCAGCTAAAGTGGGGTCAGACTGCATTCATACTACAGTGTGGACGCACGTCAAGACATTCAAGCCCAAAACTCCAAAACAAGAAGCCACTTTCTCATACTAGACATGCTTCTTTTTAATGTGCATTTATACTCCGCTGCTTTTTTTCTCTCTGCAAAAAGGCAGCTTGTAATAAAACCAATGCAATGCAACGTTGAAATAGCAAGGGGGAAGAATTTGGGGTAGTCCTCAATAAACTAGAAATCTCAGAGAAAATGGAATTATGGGACTATGATGAGTGTGTGGTGCAGGAAGGGCCCTTAAGCAATGCCACAAGTCAGAAAGAACACAAATGGGTCATGCAATTTGTATTTTCTCAAGCCACGAGGAGAGGCGGGTAAGAAAAAAAAAGTATTACTATTACTATTATTATTGTAAGAAATAGTGGTCTCAAAGTCCTCTATATTCTGATTATTATTAATATTATTATTATTCTTTAAGAAAAAATAGTCCCAAAGTTCTCTATGCTCTGATTGTGGTTTACTGTTGTTGTTGTTGTTGTTATTTTAAGGAACAGTGGCCCCAAAGTCCTCTATGTTCTTATTTATTATAATAATAATTATTATTACTATTACTATTATTATTTTAAGGAACACTGATCTTAAAGACTTCTATGCTCTGTTTGTGGTTTTGTTATTGTTGTTATTGTTATCATCATCATCATCATTAAGGAACAGTGGTCCCAAAGTCCTCTATGTTCTTGTTTATTATTATTATTATTATTATTATTATTATTATTATTATTTTAAGGAACAATGATCCTAAAGTCTTCTATGTTCTCATTGTGGTATGTTGTTGTTGTTGTTATATATTTTAAGGAACAGTGTTCTCAAAGTCCTCTATATTCTGATTAATAATAATAATAATAATAATAATAATAATAATAATAATATATTTTAAGGAATTGTGGTCCCAAAGTCCTCTATTTTCATGTTGTTGTTATGGCTTTGTAGTTTCAAATCCTGGCTGGTTGCTGCCTGGGGATAATAATAACATTATAATAATAAACTTTATTTATAACCTCCCCGATGGGGACTCAGAGCGGCTTACATGAAGTCAAGCCCAAATAACAATTAAAGGTAAAGGTAAAGGTAGTCCCCTGACATTAAGTCCAGTCATGTCTGACTCTGGGGTGTGGTGCTCATCTCCATTTCTAAGCCGAAGAACCAGCGTTGTCCGTAGACACCAAGGTCATGTGGCCGACATGACTGCATGGAGCGCCGTTACAATAAAGAAGAAAACAAAAAACACAAACAGAAAATGCAAACAATAACAATAACATCATATTAACATAAAACATATGCATACATAACAATGTAAAAAATTAATAAATACAGATGCAATAATAATGGACGGGCTACATGTAATGATTAAAAGACAGACTGATTAAAACTAATTAAAACTTGAGTGAGATAAAAGGAGAAGCAGGTAATTAGCGGAGGAGAGCTCATTATAGGAGGGGGGTTGTGGAAGCAGGCTTTCCCACAAGGGGAGGAGGAATACTCCGATGATAGAACTTAAGGCTGAGGAATAGTGTGCAGTTATATACCTACTCATCAAAAGTGCAGCAGAAGAGGGGAATCCTTTGTTGGGAAGTGTTAGCTGGCCCTGATTGATTCTTGTCTGGAATTCCCCTGCTTTTTGAGAGTTGCTCTTTATTTAATGTCCTGATTTTGGAATTTTTAAAAACTGGTAGCCAGATTTTGTTCATTTTCATAGTTTCCTCCTTTCTGTTGAAATTGTCCACCTGCTTGTGGATTTCAATGGCTTCCCTGTGCAGTCTGACATGGTGGTTGTTTGAGACAGTAAATAAAGAGCAACATGAAAAAGGGGGGAATTGCAGACAAGAATCAATCAGGGCCAGCTAACACCTCACTACAAAGGAGTCCCACAGGCAGCAACCAGTCAGGCTTTGAAGCTGTAAGGCCATTCAATGCTAATCAAGGTGGCCAATTGCAGTGTTCACACTTGCCTCCAACAGACAAGAATTATTTCTCCCACCCTGGACATCATTCTACAGATATATAAATCTCAGTTGTCTAGTTTCCAACAGACCCCTCAACCTCTGAGGATGCCTGCCATAGATGTGGGGGAAACATCAGTAGAGAATGCTTCTGAAACATGGCCATACAGCCTGGAAAATTCACAGCAACCCAGTGATTTCAGCCATGAAAGCCTTCGACAACAAATTATTATTATTATTATTATTATTATTATTATTATTATTAGAAACTTATGTTGTTGTTGTTTTGTTGTTAATATTATTATTATCTTAAAGAACACTGATCTCAAAGTCCTCTACATTCTTGTTTATTATTATTACTATTACTATTATTATTATTTTAAGGAACACTGGTCCCAAAGTCTTCTATGCTCTGATTGTGGTTTGTTGTTGTTGTTGTTACTGTTATTATTATTTTAAGGGACAGTGGTCCCAAAGTCCTCTATGTTCTTGTTTATTACTATTATTACTATTACTATTATTATTATTTTAAGGAACACTGATTCTAAAGTCTTATATGCTCTGATTGTGGTTTGTTGTTGTTGTTGTGTTGCTGTTGTTGTGTTGTTGTTGTTGTTGTTGTTGTTGTTGTTATTATTATTATTATTATTATTATTATTATTATTATTATTATTATTATTTAAGGAACAGTGATCCCAAAGTCCTCTACGTGCTTGTTTATTATTATTATTACTATTATTACTACTATTATTATTTTAAGGAACACTGATCCTAAAGTCTTCTGTGCTCTGATTGTGGTTTGTTGTTATTTTAAGGAACAGTGGTCCCAAAGTCCTCTATGTTCTTGTTTATTATTACTATTACTATTATTATTATATTAAGGAACACTGATCCTAAAGTCTTCTATGCTCTGATTGTAGTTTATTGTTGTTTTTGTTCTTATTATTATTTTAAGGAACAGTGGTCTCAAAGTCTTGTTTATTATTGATGTTATTATTATTACTATTATTATTATTACTATTACTATTATTATTATTATTTAAAGGAACACTGATCCTAAAGTCTTCTATGCTCTGATTGTAGTTTATTGCTGTTTTTGTTCTTATTATTATTTTAAGGAACAGTGGTCTCAAAGCCTTGTTTATTATTGATGTTATTATTATTACTATTATTACTATTATTATTATTATTATTATTATTTCAAGGAACACTGATCCTAAAGTCTTCTATGCTCTGATTATAGTTTATTGTTGCTGCTGGTGTTGTTATTATTATTATTATTTTAAGGAACAGTGGTCTCAAAGTCTTGTTTATTATTGATGTTATTATTATTACTATTACTATTATTATTATTTTAAGGAACACTGATCCTAAAGTCTTCTATGCCCTGATTGTAGTTTATTGTTGTTATTATTATTATTATTTTAAGGAACAGTGGTCTCAAAGTCTTGTTTATTATTGATGTTATTATTATTACTATTACTATTATTATTATTTTTCGGAACACTGATCCTAAAGTCTTCTATGCTCTGATTGTAGTTTATTGTTGTTATTATTATTATTATTTTAAGGAACAGTGGTCTCAAAGTCTTGTTTATTATTGATGTTATTATTATTACTATTACTATTACTATTATTATTATTTTTCGGAACACTGATCCTAAAGTCTTCTATGCTCTGATTGTAGTTTATTGTTGTTTTTGTTCTTATTATTATTTTAAGGAACAGTGGTCCCAAAATCTTGTTTATTATTAATGTTATTATTATTACTATTTCTATTATTATTATTATTTAAAGGAACACTGATCCTAAAGTCTTCTATGCCCTGATTGTAGTTTATTGTTGTTATTATTATTATTATTTTAAGGAACAGTGGTCTCAAAGTCTTGTTTATTATTGATGTTATTATTATTTCTATTTCTATTATTATTATTTTAAGGAACACTGATCCTAAAGTCTTCTATGCTCTGATTGTAGTTTATTGTTGTTGCTATTGTTATTATTATTATTTTAAGGAACAGTGGTCTCAAAATCTTGTTTATTGTTGATGTTGTTATTATTATTACTATTATTATTTAAAGGAACGCTGATCCTAAAGTCTTCTGTGCCCTGATTGTAGGTTGTTGTTGTTATTGCTATTATTATTTTTTAAGGAACAGTGGTCCCAAAGTCCTCTATGCTCTTATTATTACTATTATTATTATTTTAAGGAACACTGATCCTAAAATCTTCTATGCTCTGACTGTGGTCTATTGTTGTTGTTATTGTTACTATTATTATTGTTGTTATAGTTCTTCTTGCAATGCAGACCAAGACCTTGCTTTGCATCAATGAGGGGAGATATTGCTATTTGCTGCCCCACAATAACATGCACTTGAACTGCCCCGTGGCATCCTGGGAGTTGTAGTTTTTGCGCCACTGAACCGAAACAAGGCTTGCCAAACCCATAGGGTTCCAAAGCATGGAGCCAGGAGGGGGTTCCAAACTGCACTGAGAGGCATCCCCATAGCATTGCCTTCCTCTGGATGCATCTCAAGCCTCCTCTGCACGCTGGCCTATCTCTCCCAATTGCTATGGGACTACAAAACCCATCCTCCGGAGGGACTCACCTGCTGCCCTGGAATGACCCCGCCGCCGTCCGCCGCCGCACCGAGGAGCCCTGCATCGCAGCTTGCTTAGAGGGGCTTTCCCGAGGCGAAAGCGCTTCTGGAGCGGGTCTGCATGCTCCCAGGGCTCCGAATCTAGAGCAGGAGGAGGAGGAGGAAGGCGCACGGGAAGAGCCTCCCTCTGCTTTGCAACCTCTGCAAGCCCCGCCCCCTCCTGCCCCCAAAAGAAAAGGCAGCGCTCTGCACATGCTCCGGGGAAGCCCTTCCCCACCAGCCTCTTGGTTTGGAAAGTTTGCAGGGAGCATCCCAAACTGCGTGTCGCCCGGAAAATGCTTCCCCCTTCAAAAGAAACCCCAAAGGCAATGCCAAGGAGTGGAAACGAGGAATGGAAGACCCTCCCTTGCAGGGAGTCACAATCAAAGCCCCCCCAACAGATGGCCACCCAGCCTCAGTTCAAAATCCTTCAAAGAAGGAGACTCCACTGGGTTCCCAAGCAGTCTATACTTCACTAGAGTTGGAAAGGACCCCCAAAGGGCATCTAGTCTACCCCCCCTTGTAGTCAAGCAGGAAGACACAATCAAAGCCCCCACAACAGATGGTCACCCAGCCTCAGTTCAAAAACCTTTAGAGAAGAAGAGTCCACTGGGCTTCTGAGAATCTATACTTCACTAGAGTTGGAAGGGAACCCCAAAGGGCATCTAGTCTGCCCCTCTTGCAGTCAAGCAGGAAGACGCAGTCAAAGCTCTCCCAACAGACGGCCATCTGGCAAGAGTTCAATAACCTCCATAGAAGAAGGCTTCACTGGGCTCCCAGGAAATTTATAGTTCACTAGACGGGACCCTCAAAGGGCATCTAGACCAAGCCCTTGCAGTCAAGCAGGAAGACACAGTCAAAGCTCTCCCAACAGACGGCCATCGGGCAACAGTTCAATAACCTCCATAGAAAAAGGCTTCACTGGGCTCCCCACAATTTATAGTTCACTAGACGGGACCCTCAAAGGGCATCTAGTCCAACCCCCTTGCAGTCAAGCAGGAAGACACAGTCAAAGCTCTCCCAATAGACGGCCATCCGGCCACAGTTCAAAACCCTTCAGAGAAGGGGACTCCACTGGGTTCCCAGGCAGTATAAATTTCACTAGAGTTAGAAAGGACCCCCAAAGAGCATCTACTCTGCCCCCCTTGCAGTCAAGCAGGAAGACACAGTCAAAGCCTTTCCAACAGATAGCCATCTGGCCACAGTTCAAAACCCTTCAAAGAAGGAGGCTCCACTGGGCTCCCAGACAGTCTATACTTCACTAGAGTTGGAAGGGAACCCCAAAGGACATCTAGCCCACCCCCCTTGCAGTCAAGTAGGAAGACACAGTCAAAGCTCTCCCAATAGACGGTCATTTGGCCTCAGTTCAAAAACCTCCAGAGAAGGAGGCTCCGCTGGGCTCCCAAGCAATCTATACTTCACTAGAGTTAGGACCCTCAAAGGGCATCTAGTCCAACCCCCTTCAGCCAGGCAGTGAGACACAGTTAAAGTCCTCCCAACAGATGGCTATTCAGCCTCGGATCAAAACCCCTGGGCTCCTAGGTAGTCTATACTTCACCAGAGTTGGAAGGGACCCCCGAAGGGCATCTAGTCTGACCCCTTGCAGCCAGACAGGGAGACACAGTCAAAGCCCTCCCAACAGACGGCCATCCAGACTCAGTTCAAAGACCTCCAGAGAAGGAGACTCCACTGGAGTCCCAGGCAATCTACGTTTCACTAGAGTGGGAAGGGTCTCTTTTGAAACACTTCATCATTCTTTGCTTGTTTGCCCCAAATATGATAATATATGGATGAAATACAGGAATTCCAATCTTTGAAGTGTTTTGGACTCCATTGAAGTTCAAAACACCTTTGAGGATCAAAGTTTGGGAATCACTCGATAGTCCTTGCAGCATCCCCTCAAGTTTGCTCTGACTTATAGCAAGCCTATCATGGAGTTTTCTTGGCCAGATTTGGAGTGCGTCTAGACTGTTGAATGAATGCAATTTGCTACCACTTTCACTGCCATGGCTCAGTACTATGGAATGCTGGGAGTTGTAGTCTTGCGAGGCATCACAGTAGCTTCAAGAGCAATTCATGATTTGGCCATGATTTAGGATTAACACTTCCCACTTAGCCAAGTACAGGGTGAAAATGTTCTCTTTGCAATGTAGGCATCGATTGGGAAGAGATCCATTGGTGACCGAGAAAGAAAGCCATCCACACTTGAAGAGGAGTTCCTCTCTGCCAGTATCATCCAGGAATGGAGAAAGGATCTTTGAGTCTGGGCTTAAGATTGCCTCTCCCTCCCCGTCTCACAGGCCAGATGTCCAAAGCGGATCAGGACAGAGATGGCTGCACAGCAGCACAGCTGTGCTTTGCCGGGATCAAGTCTTTGGCTGGCTTTCGTTTCCGTTAATCTTCTGATGGGAGCAAACATTGCTTCTGCAATCAACTATGGAACTGGGAGAGATATAGAAAGGTTTTGAACAGCTTCAGGGAAGCAGCTCCAGAGAAGTCATGCTACCCTTCTATTCTGCCTTGGTCAGACCACACCTGGAATCACACTGGGTCCAATTCTGGTCACCACAATTGAAGGGAGATGTTGACTCTAAGATGGAATGTGTCCAGAGGAGGGTGACTAAAATGAACAAGAGTCTGTAGAACAAGCCCTATGAGGAGCGGCTTAAAGAGCTGGGCATGTTTAGCCTGCAGAAGAGAAGGCTGAGAGGAGACATGATAGCCATGTATAAATATGTGAGGGGAAGTCATAAGGAGAAGGCTAGTTGTCTACTGCCCTGGAGACTAGGACGTGGAACAATGGTTTCAAATTACAGGAAAGAAGATTCCACCTGAACATAAGGAAGAACTTCTTGACTGTAAGGAGAGCTGTTCAGCAGTGGAACTCTCTGCCCCAGAATGTGGTGGAGGTGCCTTCTTTGGAGACTTTTAAACAGAGGCTGGATGGCCATCTGTTAGGGATGCTTTGAATGCAATTTTCCTGCTTCTTAGCAGAATGGGGTTGGACTGGATGGCCCACGGGGTCTCTTGCAACTCAATGATTCTATGATTCTATACTTGCATCTTGCTCATAGTGGCCTTAGATAAAGGCCACTATGAGGAGCGGCTTAAAGAGCTGGGCATAGGGCTTGTTCTACAGACTCTTGCTCCTCATAGGGCTTGTTCTACAGACTCTTGTTCATTTTAGTCACCCTCTCAGCCTTGGAGGAGAGCCTTCTGTGCAGAAATTCCAGCCAAGAAAATCCTTGGATATAAACCACCCTAAGTCTTGACTTGATTTGAAGATGAATGCCAATGACAGCAATCATTTAGCTAGTTCCGTTATAGAATTCAGACTGCAACCCGGAGTGGATTTAGTGTCTCCAGAGGACATGGAAACCACTCGACACCATGGTTGAACCTCGGACAGCAACCAACCCTTCTGGATTCAGTTTGGGATCCTTGAGCTTTGCTTCAGATGAAACCCAGAGAGGGTTGCACTCAAAACCGCACTATGCAGTGCTTGGATTTGCTCACACGAAGCCATCATGCAAAGAACAAAAACATACAACCCCCCCCCCCCAAAAAAAAACACCCCACAGTTGTAGGCAGCCTGAATTGGGATTGAAAGAGACATTTGGGGATTCACAGGAAAGCCAGTAATCTCTTCCGATCATAAACACAAGTGGTAAATCCTCTGTGTGCAACCTCTTGGCCTGCGATGGGGAACATTGATTTGATGCCGGGGAATGTCTGCTCATAGATTATTACAATAAAATAATCCCTCCTGGGAGATTAGGCAGAGAAGGGGGTGAGGAAGAGAGGCAGAAAGCTGTCTGGGAGAGAAGAGAAAATATGCAAAAATTGTGTGTGTTTTGGGTATATCGCATTTGCCTAAAATTCCTATGGAGTTTGGGGCAAAAACTAAACTACACCTCCTTTGAAAAGTGATGCTGGAGAAGAGACATACATACTAAAGACAACCCAAAAAGAGAAAGCAATAGCTTCAAGAGCAGATCAGGTCTGAATTCTACTGTTGTACTTTGGGACAGATGATGTGATCAATTGGGAAAAGACAATATTGATTGTTAAGTTGTTGTTAATTCGTTCAGTCATTTCCGACTCTTCGTGACTTCATAGATTAGTCCACGCCAGAGCTCCTTGTTGGTCGTCACCACCCCCAGCTCCTTCAATGTCAATCCATCCCATCCGTCCATCTTGCCCTTGGTCGGCCCCTCTTCCTTTTTCCTTCCATTTTCCCCAGAATAATTGTCTTCTCTACGCTTTCCTTTCTTCTCATGATGTGGCCAAAGTACTTCATCTTGGCCTCTACTATTCTTCCCTCCAATGAGCAGTCAGGCTTTATTTCTTGAAGTATGGACTGGTTGGATCTTCTTGCAGTCCAAGGCACTCTCAGAACTTTCCTCCAACACCACAGTTCAAAAGCATCTATCTTCCTTCGCTCAGCCTTCCCTAAGGTCCAGCTCTCACATCCGTAGGTGACTATGGGGAATACCATTGCTTTAACTATGCAGATCTTTGTTGCCAGTGTGATGTCTTTGTTGCCAGTGTGATTGTTAAACTAGGAGGTAAAAGAGGAAGGTGGCATTTTATAGGTAGCTGGATGGGATCCAGACTGAATTTGCAAGACCGAAGTAGAAGTGTTAGTTATTGTACTCTTGGAAGTCTTTGAAGTTTCTCTTCTATAGAGTTGCCTTAAGTAAAAAACAGTGATAACAACAATGATATTATTGAAGGCTTTCATGGCCGGAATCAGTGGGGTGTTGTGTGGTTTATAACAACAACAATAACAACAACACTGAATACTGCTGTTTTTAGTTTGTCCAAGGAGGGCAAATTGCAGTCCCACAGTAAACTACGCTCTTTTCCATCCCTTGTCTTTTCTCTCCTTCTGTGCGCACCTGGAAAGAGCCGCATACAGCACATTGAGGGCCTGCTGCTGCATAATGGATGATCAGCCCCTCTGCAGTTTCCACCTGGGACGGCAGCTCCAGTTGCATGGACTCCAGATTAACTATTTATAGGGTTGTCACTGAAACCCCTGCGAAACAATGGCGCCGTCTCAGCTTGGGGTCCAATGAGCCAGATCCAGTTACTGACCCTGCCAGCTGGCTTCAGCAGATGACAATAGTTTGGGGTCCCTATTCAAGGCCCCTGGAACCTGAGATGGAAGACAGAAAGAGCGGGCATGTGGCGAAAGGGATGCTGCCTCTGTATCTGGTGATAAAGGCTCATGCTCTTGGAAGGAGGCATCATCAACCCCTTCAGATGTCAAAAGCCCTTTCTCTTGCAGTCTCAAAGAGTAGGAAAAGCCAACCAGTTCATGGCAGGATTTACCTCTCAATGGCTGGTTCTATATTGACGCCAAAAAGGGCTACATGACGCCCCAATATGAGATGGGTAACACTGACCAACACATATTTTGGTGCCTCACATGTGAGCCCTGTTTCTGGGTCTATTTGAACTGATTCCAAAAATGGCACCTGTTCTCATCAGCTCTAGTTTTTGAGATATAGAACATAATGCTGTCTTAACAGTCGCCGACTGCAGACCATGACAATCATATCCTGAAAACCAGAGCTGATGCAGTCTATCCGGTACCATTTTCTGAATCGACACCCCAAAGAACCCCAGGAACAGACCTAAAACCCTAAGGCACCTTTTTTTTTGGGGGGGGGGGGGGATATGTAATTCCATGTGATAGGCATTTTTCACACCCCACAATTATCACGCTTAGGTACCACTTCAAACTGCCATCCTATGGAATCCAATGGAACACTGTTTTGGGGCATATTTAGAACTAGCCATCCCCCTGCCACGCATTGCTGTGGCCCAGTCTATGAATATGTGCTTTGTGTGTATATATTGGTGTGTGTGTGTGTGTGCGTGTGTGTGTATGTCTGTCTATCTATCTATCTATCTATCTGGTTTTGCGCATGTATTGTGATTTTTTTTTGCTTTTTAAGTCTCTTCTGCTGTGTTTTTCAGTGTTTTTATGAATGATGGTCACTTGTTGGCCTGATGTGTAGTGTCCAAATTTGGTGTCAATTTGTCCAGTGGTTTTTGAGTTATGTTAATCCCACAAACGAACATTACATTTTTATTTATATAGATTATCTTCCAGAAGCTCCTTACACTACAAATTCCCAGACTTCATAAAATGGCATGAAAGTGTATAATGTGAAAAAGACTCTAGATTTCAGTTCCATATAGAAAGATTTTGAATCTTAAGGAGTTTTCCCCTCACTTTTTGAATTTTCTTTCTTTTTTGCAATACCCACCAACCAAAGCCAGGAGCAAACACTGCCTTGAAGGACTAGGGTGATCTAAACCCCCTTTTTTGGAACCAGAAACTCCTTGATTGTTCTGTTTCAAAGGCTCACTGCCAGCCCCAAACTCTCTCGGAAATTCTAGTCTTAAAAGTCAAGTGATTCAAGCTTTGTCCCAGGCCTAACAAAATGCATTTCAACAAGGACAAATGTAAGATACTACACTTAGGCAGGAAAAAATGAAATGCAAAGATACAGAATGGGTGGTGCATGGCTCAACCACAGTACATGAGAAAAAGATATTGGACTCTTTGTGTACAACAAGTTGAACATGAGCAAACAATGTGATGCTGCTGGAAAAAAGCCAATGTGATTCTAAGTTGCATTAATAGGAATCTAGGGTCTAGATCAAGGGAAATCATGCTGCCTCTCTATTCAGTTTTGGTTAGACCTCTTTACCTGGAAAACTGTGTCCAACTCTGGGCAAAGCAATTTAAAAGAGATATTAACTCTTAGGTGTTCAGAAGAGGGTAACTTAAAGGATCAAAGGCCCGGAGACCATGAATTCCTATGAGGAGCATCTTAAAGACCTGGATCTATTTAGCCTGCAGAAGAAAAAGTTGGGAGAAGACATGAGAGCCATGTATACATGTCTGAAAGGGTGTCATAAGGAAGAGGGAGCAGGCAGGTTTTTTTGCAATGCAAAGATACAGAATGGATGGTGAATGAGAAAAAGATCTTGGACTCTTTGTGGACAACAAGTTGAATATGAGTCCTGAAAACTAGGACTAGGAACAATGGGTTCAAATTACAGGAAAGGAGATTCTATCTAAACATAAGGAAGAAGTCCCTGATAAGTTCCTGTTCAACAGTGGAACCCTCTGTCTCGGAATCTGATTGAAGCTTTTTCTTTGGAGACTTTTAAACAAAGGCTGGTGGCCATCTGTCGGGAATGCTTTGGTTGTGTTTTTCCTACATAATGGCAGAGGGAGGTTGCACTAGCCCTACGATCCAGATGGCTGGATGGCCATCTGTCAGGGGTGATTTGAATGCAATATTCCTGCTTCTTGGCAGGGGATTGGACTGGATGGCCCATGAGGTCTCTTCCAACTCTAGAATTCTATGATTCTATGATTCTATTCAAGGCAATGGAGACTAAGGCTAGTATGCCAGCCATGCCTGTTTTGAGTCCAGAGAGGCTTGGCAGAGGTATCTTCCTAGAGGCGCTGTCACATTTCTTCCTATCGTTTCCCTTTTCCTAAAACTGGAAAGAGCCTGTTCGCACCCGGAACGATTGTTCATGGGAGGTAGTTTCCCCGTAAGACTTGAATTCGCGAAGCACCCAGAGCGGCTGCAGAATCCGCTTCCGGGTTCCGCACCAGCAGTGTTAGACCGAGGGAGGGTGAGAGAGAGAGAGAGGAACGCGAAAGCCGAGCTAGGCGACTAGGAAGGGCCCTTCCGGGGTTCCGTAGCTGCCGTTGCTGCTCCATTCGCCCTCGGCTTGACCCTTGCGGGGATCCGTAGCTGAGGAGACGAGGCGAAGCCTGGCAGCGTTTCCTTCCTGGGCGCCCCGTCGAGAGGCCTTCCCGGCTGCTTCCGGGGAGAGGGGTTGGGGGCAGAAGGCTCCGGCCTCCCAGCCGAGGGCCAGGCAGGCCTGCAAGTGCCTCCCCAAGTCCCGGCCAGCGAAAGGGAAGGAGGGAACGTAAGGCTTTGCCTTTTTCTCTGGGGAAAGGGCAGGTTGACCTGGCCCACTCTCACTTCAGAGGCCTTGTTTTGACAGAACCTAGGCCCCACTTTCAGCTTCTTTGGAGCAGGCCAGCCCTTGCCTCTTCCTCCTTTTTATGAGGCTGTCGGCTTTTTGCCTTCTCCTCATCTCGATGGAGCCTCTTCCCAATTATGGTTTTCTTTGGGGCTGCTGAAGGGTGAGGCCTTGCCCCCTCCTTTTTTGTGGGGCCTGTACCCCACTCCTAGATTACATGGGGCAGGTCTTCTGGACCCTGATACTTTCCCCCTTTTTTCATTTGGAGGATTACAGCGAAGGGCAAAACTGAGTCCCTTCCTTATTTGCGGATTGAGGCTTTCATTGGGGCCTAATCTCCACTCCTAGATTAAGTGGGGCACATCTTTTTGCACCTTCCTCCTTTGGACTTTTTGCCCCACTTCTGAACCCTGATACTTTCCCTTATTTTTCATTTGGAGGATTACAGCGAAGGGCAAAACTGAGTCCCTTCCATATTTGCGGATTGAGGCTTTCATTGGGGCCTGATTTCCACTCCTAGATTAAGTGGGGCACCTCTTTTTGCACCTTCCTCCTTTGGACTGAGTTTTTGCCCCTGATACTTTCCCTTCTTTTTCATTTGGAGGACTACAGCAAAGGGCAAAACTGTGTCCCTTCCTTATTTGCAGATTGAGGCTTTAATTGGGGCCTGATCTCCACTCCTACATTAAGTGGGGCACACCTTTTTGCACCTTCCTCCTTTGGACTTTTTGCCCCACTTCTGAACCCTGATACTTTCCCTTCTTTTTCATTTGGAGGACTACACCTTTGACTAAGGTTGTATCCTGCTTTCAGACAACTACAAGGAAAGCTTCACAGTCCTTATTGGGACAGAGCCGATAGCTGATACACCACTTCTAGACCTGGCAATCCCATGCTGTTGTTTCCTCCTCGGGACGATGTGCCCCTCTCTCCATAAGGAGTACTAGTGCTTGGGCGCCGCCTCGGGGGCTGCCCTGAACCCGTGTCTCTTGGAAGCGGCGGGGACCGGCACCACGACGAGAAGCCCCGGCGCCCCCCCAGACCCCACGGGGGTCGGCCCGCATGCGCCTCCCTGCTGCAGGGCCACGGAGGAGGAGGAAGAGGAGGAGGAGGAGGAAGAGGAACTGCCCAACCCAGCCCTGGCGCCGGCCGGGGAGAGCGCTGCCACCACCGTGGGTTGGCGTTGGCGTTCCCGGGAGGAGCAGATGGCCATGGAGAGCTTGGCCGGCTATGTCTACAAGGCAGCCAGCGAGGGGCGGGTGCTGACCCTGGCTGCCTTGCTCTTGAACCGCTCAGAGAGCGACGTCCGCTACCTGCTAGGCTTCGTCACCCACCAGGGTGGGCAACGCTCCACGCCGCTCATCATTGCCGCACGCAATGGGCACACCAAGGTGGTGCGACTGCTCCTGGAGCACTACCACGTCCAGACCCAGCAGACAGGCACCGTCCGGTTCGATGGGTATGTCATTGGAAGGCGGGAATGGATTGAATAGGAGCAGACTTGTCTGCTGCCCTTGAAATTAGGACTAGGAGCAATGGATTCAAATTACAGGAAAGGGGATTCCACCTGAATAGTAGGAAGACTTCTTGACTGTATGAGCTGTTCAGCAGTGGAACTCTCTGTCCCGAAGTGTGGTGGAATCTCCTTCCTTGGACATGTTTAAACAGAGGCTGGGTGGCCATCTGTCAGGGATACTTTGATTGTGCTTTTTCCTGCATGGCAGGGGGTTGGACTAGGTGGCCCGTGTGGTCTCTTCTAATTCTATTATTCTATCATTCTTTGATCCATTCCCACTGAAGTTCTCCTGATAGGAAGAGAAGATGTTTCAAAATACCCATATTGTCTCGAGCCTCATATGCCATCAAATCTAATGCGCACATCCATTTTCAAAACCCTGAAACCAAAAAAGCATTTGCTGCCAAATGTAATGTGCAGCAACAAAAAGTGCCCTCTTTGTAACCTGGCCATTACGGTTGATGCATACTTAGAATTTCTTCTTTAAAAACAAAAGCTTCTAGCAATGAAAAAGAAAACTTTGGGGTTTATCTATGCTGTAGACTGAATCCACTTTATTGCCTTGGTTTAGTGATATGGAATCATGGGTTTTTTAGTTTGACAAGACTATGAGCCTTTTCTACCAAAGAAGGCTGCTGCCTCACCAAACTACAAATCCCAGGATTGCATAACATTGAGCCATGGCCATTAAATCAGAGATGAGGTACCTCCAATAGACGCTCCAGGTTCAGCTCACGAAGCAGCTTCCCCTTGGTTTTGGCTCAGCATTGGGATGACCGTAATGTAACACACACTAATTTTGGCATAGTAATTTATTCAAAAAAGGTGAGCATTAAATTTGAGTACATAGGGTACGTTAGTTTCTGGTAACTGAGTTCATGGTGGTATTGTGCCAGTCTTACTCAATGGATGGAATCGTGTAGGTTGCTCATGTAAGACTATTTTTAATCTATAGCTGAGTAGAGTGTGGCAGAAGTGTGCTGGGCCATAACCTGTAGGAATACAGTCTCTATAGCAGAGTAGAGTGCACCATAGCCAATGATATATATCAGCTTATGGTAGAAAACAGGAGAGAACATATGCAGATGTGCTGACAGGGAAGAGGCTCAGAGGTCTCGCTTGGAAGACTTCAGGATAAGTTTTGGTGTCTTCCAAGCCAAGTGATAATAATGCAGAGTTGTGTGTATGTCTTGTTTCACTTCAGTACTAAAAAAGAGCAAAACTAGTTATTAGTTGTGGAAGTAATCTTTGCTTCAGTTTTTTTGAAGGTTGGCAAACTGAAGTACTGACACAGAGAGGGGCACCTCAGGCTTCCTTTGCAACTAGTTACTTTGTCTAAGTATAATGAAGTTACATTTTTAAAGCAATATAACAAAGTTTGGCATGGCAAGCTTTCTAGTTCTTTTAAAGCTCCCTTTCAAGGCATTTTGAAAACAAGTTTCAAGTTTTATGCTTTTCCCATTTTGTGTGCTCAAAAAGTAACAAAGTAACGGAATGTAATGAGCAGTATGGTATAATATGTTTTCTAACAAACTACCTTTTCTTGTCATCATAACGACAGAGCAACTGGTTACTTTCCATTTCCCAAAAGGTGGACTCAACCTTTCTCCTGTACTGCATGCCCTTTGTGTCAGGGAGGTGCTTTCTTTCTGCTTTTGGCTTGACACTTTCTTTCTGTGACATCGCTGAGGCACTGGTTGCTGAGAGCTGGGAAGCCTGTCATCAAGGGGAGAGCCCAGATTGGCCCACTGTGCAGCCAGACTCACCTGTTGAAATGGACTAGGTATGAGGATAGCAGTGCAGACTCTGGTCAAAGAAGCCCAATGGGATTATGATGGATGCTCTTAGATGAGATCTAGACACCACAGGAGTGTTTTTTGTTTGTTTGTTGACAAACAGACTCTTGGTTGAATGGAATTTTTGGAGGGCAGAAATGAATTGGCAATAGAATCTTGTTGGAGCTAGGAAGGATCTGAGGAAACTACCATGGAGTTAAAGAGTTGTTAGAGTTGAATTCCAGGCCAGATTAGAAGAAAGCAGGGAATAGATTGTGTTCATTGTTCCCTTATTTTGTATCATTCCAATTGGCTATACTAAGATGTGTAGAAATGTGAGTTTTGCTGAAGCAGCTCATTGCATGCTCAGATCTGACATTGAAACAGGTTTGTTGAAGCTTGTTGTTTGTCAACGGTTGGAGGAGGCTAGTTGCCAGGGCCATCCATCCTTTTTTTAAAAAAAAAAACCTGCAGCACTTTGTACACGAGGAGAGGAACCCCTTCATAGCAGCTGAGTATTTTTTGCTAAGGAATCCTTGAGAAATCCATGGGATTGCCATAAGTTGATGGGTGACTTGAAGGCAAACACACATTGTAGCTGGAGGCAGGGATGTGGACTTATGGGGCCAAGTATCAACTCTTGCCAAAGTTCTCCCTCCCTCCAACAGAGTTTGTCTTGCTGACAAGTAAGGGTTCCACTTTGTTGCTTCTTTTGAGACACCTTACAGTTGGTGGGATGCATTATTTTCCTGATATATTGCAACATGACTTGTAATTATTGTACATTCTCCTGCTTAAGCTAGGGTGAGTCATTAATAACAACATGCTTTGGGTTTCTCTTACCCAAATGGCATGCAGACATTCCCAACCTGTTTGGAAGTCAGTTGCACAATTGTATAAACAGGGCATCTGTTAATATGAAGTGAGCACCATACATTTATGTCACTGAGAAAACAAATTTTCCACTGCAGGGAATTAATGTGGCTCTTTTCCACAGAGAGCATGTACTCTATATTGTCTTATAGTGCGCATGCTCTGGAACTATTGTGATGATTTTTGGGTCCTTTCTCTCAAATGCATTAAAGAGGGAGTAGGGATTTCCTACCAGAGTTGGTCTTGGGAACATAGACTCAGAGAAACATTGGAAGTTGGAAGAAACCTCAGGGGCCATCCAGTCCAACCCCCTTCTGCCATGCAGGAAAAGCACAAAGTACCCCCAACAGATGGCAACCAAACCTCTGATTAAAGCACTCCAAAGAAAGAGCCTCCACTGGACTCCAAGGCAGAGCGTTCCACTGTTGAACACCTCTTCTTATGGTCAGGAAGTTCTTCTTAATGTCTCATTGGAATCCCCTTTCCTGCCATTTGGACCCATGGCTCCAGCGAGTCTTAGTCTCCAAGGCAGCAGAAAGGAAGTTTGCTTCCTCATCCTTATGACATCATTTCCAATATTTATACATGACTATTATGTCTCCTGGAGCCCACTGGTGGTGCAGCAGGTTAAACTGCTGAGCTGCTGAACTTGCTGATCGAAAGGGTGGTGGTTCGAATCCGGGGAGCGGGGTGAGCTCCTGCTGTTAGCCACAGCTTCTGCCAACCTAGCAGTTTGAAAACACGCAAATGTGAATAGATCAATAGGTACTGCTTCAGCAGGAAGGTAATGGCATTCCATGCAGTCATGCTGGCCACATGACCTTGGAGGTGTCTAAGACAACACTGGCCCTTTGGCTTAGAAATGGAAATGTGCACCACCCCCCAGAGTGGGACACAATTAGACTTAATGTCAGGGGAAAACCTTTACCTTTTTATCATGTCTCCCTCCGCCTTCTCTTCATCCAGCTTAACAGACCTAGCCCTTTTAACCCGCTCCTCAGAGAGATTCATAGTTTCCAAACATTTGATCATTTTAGTTGCCCTCCTTTGGACACTTGCCAACTTGTCACTATCTCTCTTGAATTGTATAATCTTCTCCCCAAACACAGTTCTCCATACTGAGAAACTGAGCTTATTGCAGGTTGGTTTTTGGAAATTATACCAGCTTTAATGTTTGGTCTTTTTTCCGCAGCTATGTCATTGATGGTGCTACGGCACTGTGGTGTGCAGCTGGAGCTGGCCATTTCGAAGTTGTGAAGCTCCTGGTGAGCCATGGAGCCAATGTCAACCACACTACAGTGACCAACTCCACCCCGCTGCGGGCCGCCTGCTTTGACGGCAGACTCGACATTGTGAGGTACCTGGTGGAGAACAATGCCAACATCAGCATTGCCAATAAGTATGACAACACTTGCCTTATGATCGCTGCTTACAAGGGGCACGTGGATGTGGTACGCTACCTCCTGGAACAGAATGCCGACCCCAACGCCAAAGCTCACTGTGGTGCCACAGCCTTACACTTTGCTGCCGAGGCGGGCCACTTGGAGATCGTCCGCGAACTTGTGAAGTGGAAATCCGCCATGATGGTGAACGGCCACGGCATGACGCCATTGAAAGTGGCCGCCGAGAGCTGCAAGGCGGATGTGGTGGAGATGCTGCTGGCACATGCTGACTGCAACCGCAAGAGCCGGATCGAAGCTTTGGAGCTGCTGGGCGCCTCATTCGCCAATGACAGAGAGAACTACGACATAATGAAAACCTACCATTATTTATATTTAGCCATGCTGGAGCGATACAGGGACAGCGAGAACATTATCGAGAAGGAGGTCTTGCCTCCAATAGAAGCCTATGGCAGCAGGACTGAGTGTCGGACTCCTCAGGAGCTGGAAGTCATTCGGCAGGACAGAGACGCCCTCCACATGGAGGGCCTCATTGTCCGGGAGCGGATTCTGGGCTCTGACAACATTGACGTCTCGCACCCCATCATCTACCGCGGTGCCGTCTATGCGGACAACATGCAGTTTGAGCAGTGCATCAAGCTCTGGCTCCACGCTTTGCATCTCCGGCAGAAGGGGAACAGGAACACCCACAAGGACCTCCTCCGGTTCGCTCAGGTCTTCTCTCAGATGATCCACTTGAACGAGCCGGTGAGGGCCAAGGACATTGAGAGTGTCTTGAGGTGCAGTGTCTTGGAGATCGAGCAGGGCATGGCCCGGGTCAAAAGCTCCCAGGAAGCTGAGCTCCACACTGCCCTGGACAACTACGAGTGCAACATCTTCACCTTCTTGTACTTGGTGTGCATCTCCACCAAGACCCAGTGCCGGGAGGAGGAGCAAGCGCGGATCAACAAGCAGATTTATACTTTGATCCAGCTGGACCCCCGGACGCGAGACGGATCCAGCTTGCTCCACCACGCAGTCAACTCGGGGACGCCGGTGGATGACTTCCACACCAACGACGTCTGCAGCTTCCCCAATGCACTGGTCACCAAGCTGCTCCTGGACTGTGGGGCTGCCGTCAACGCGGTGGACCTTGAAGGCAACACACCGCTCCACGTAATCGTCCAGTACAACCGGCCCATCAGTGACTTCTTGACTTTGCACTCCATCATCATCGGCTTGGTGGAGGCTGGGGCTCACACGGACATGGCCAACAAGCAGAAGAAGACGCCTCTGGACAAGAGCACCACCGGCGTCTCCGAAATCCTCCTGAAAACTCAAATGAAGCTGAGTCTGAAGTGCCTGGCCGCCCGAGCCGTACGGGTCCATCATATAAGTTATCGCAACCAGATCCCCAAGACGCTGGAAGAGTTTGTAGAGTTTCACTAGGGCAGATCTCTTGGGGAATGAATGGGGGTGGGAAGTGGGTTTTTGGTGGGTCGGTGATGCACCGTTCCACCTCCCTACCATTTAAGCGGCCACACAATAAAATACCAGGCAGAGATTTTGGATTTCCTTTTTCTGCTCCCTTTTTTCTGTAGCAAGCGCACACCATCCATGCCCTCAAGAACTTGCTTTGATTTGTTACCTTTCCAGCCTCTGCAGGAGGATAGGCTTCTTCTTCTCTCTTTTTGTGATTTTGGGCAGAGAAAGGACAGGGAGAGAATCAGACTCACAATGAAAATGGAGTGTGTTTTGATGCTCCGATACACACGGGTTTTTGTACCATTGACAGCCGAGAATGCATTTTTAAGCAGCTACCTGCAAAGATAATTTGCGTTGAACCGATTGAACCAGCCTGTTACCTATGCAGCAGTTTGGGAAGCAGGGAGGAAGGAAGGGATATGTTGAGAATGTACTGAAATGTGCAAAGCGACCCAGGGAAAAATTTATTACTCACCAGCCTCTTTTTAATGCCTTTCAGTTCCTAACAAATTTTATTTTTTAAATTTCTGTTTGCCATGAAATGAAAACGGGGAAAACAAGCAGGAAAATGCAGATTGAAATTCAGGTTTTATGAGTGGCCTAAAGATTATTTCTTTTTGTTGAGACTGAAAAAAAAAAAGCCAGGCAGACCTCTGCAGATCATTCCTTCTTCAAAAGGTGGACATATTTTTCAAAAATGAAAGTCGCACTGTTACAAACCCACACAATGAATGTGTGGGTTTGTATGTCTATCATTGTTTTCTAAATGTTTAAGGACAGTTCTCAGTCCCAGGCCTGAAATAGTCAGCTGAAATGCATTTTTCAGATACCTTTTAACTCGCTGGTAAAGAAAAATATTTTCAGAGGATGAAATTTTAAATTTTTTTGAAATGGAAATAGGATCAGGGAAGAATGAGAAATTGTGTTGGCACCCAGCCTCTTTTGCAAGAAGGTTCTGTGTCTCCACTCCTTTTATTATGGATTGTTTTTGAGAATACTCCCCTCTCCATAAAACAACAAAAGCCGTCTTTTACATCATGAGTCGTACCTTTATTAAATGAGGAATGTTTGACCTGTGGAACATATCTCTCTCCTTGGCAGAAACCTCAGCAGATCAATGTTAAAAGATTTTGTTGCAATTATTTTACAGCCCACTTTCTAACAGTCAGGCAATGAAAGAATGTTCAGCAGTCATCTTTTAAAAAACGAATGAAAGAACTCTGATTTAAAATAAGAGCAAAAGGGCATTCCAGGCACTGGGGTGTATGTTTGTAAAACAAATAAAATCTTGAATGTGACGTTATCTCTTAGTTCCGCCTTTTTCTGTGGCATAGCAGTTTGTTGTTGTTTTCGTCAGGTGTCAATAAGGGACAGAAATGATCTAGTATCTGACTGTCACATTTACTTGGTTGGAATCGATATGTGCCAGAATGCTTTGGTGTTTTCTTTTTGGGACATTAGAGGAGAGAACCTGCAAGAGGCACAGTCACAATACCTGAAACAAGAAGGGATGTTGTTGACTTTTGTGGTGTCCCCTTTTAACTCTTTCCAAAAAGATGAGGTTATAATTCCTTTTGTATGAAAAGCAACACCCCTTCCCTCACTTTTTCCCCTTTCTCCCTCTCTTTCTCCCTTCCTTTTTTCACTTTTCCTCCCTCCTTCCCTTCCCTCTTTCTCTCCTTCTTTTCTTTCTTCCCATTTCTCACTTCCCCCTTTCTCCTTCATCCTTCCATTCTTCCCTTTCCACTTCCTTCTTCCTTCCTTCCCCCTCCTTTCCCCTTGCTCTTTCCTTCCCCTCTTCTTTCTCATTTCTCCCCTCCCTTTCCCCTTTCTCTTTCATCTCTCCATCCCTCCCTTTCCCCTTCCTTCTTCCTTTCCTTCCCCTCCTTTCCCCTTTCTCTTTCCTTCCTCTCTTCCCATTTCTCCCTTCCCCCTTTCTCTCTCCCTCCTTTTCCCCTTTCTCCATCCCTCCCTTTCCACTTCCTTCGTCCTTCCTTTCCCCTTTATTTCCTTCCCCTCTTCTTTCCCATTTCTCCCTTCCTCCTTTCTCCTTCATCCCTCCATCCCTTTCATTCCACTTCCTTCTTCCTTCCTTCCCCTCCTGTCCCCTTTCTCTTTCCTTCCCCTCTTCTCATTTCTCCCTTCCCCCTTTCTCCTTCATCCCTTCCTTTCCCCTTCCTTCTTCCTTCTTTCCCCCTCCTTTTCCCTTTCTCTTCCCTTCCCCTCTTCCTTCTCATTTCTTCCTTCCCCCTTTCCCCTTTCTTGGTCATCCCTCCATCCCTCCATTTCCCCTTCCTTCCTTCCCCCTTTCCACTCCTTCTCCCCCTTTCCCCCCTTCTCCTTTCTTTCTCTTCCTCCCTTCCCCTCGCTCCCTCCTTCCCTTCCTTTCCCCTATTCTTTTCCTTTCTCCCCTTGCTCCTTTCCCCTCCCCCTTTCCCTTCTTTTTTCCTCCCTTCTTTTCCCCTTACCTCCCTCCCTGGTTCTCCCTTCCTCAGACCATTTTTGGACCCCAGTTTTGCCTTTAAACATCCCCAAGAATTCCTGTTTGAGTACTGCAATATTCACAAAAGGAATCTCCCAGAAGTCCCCATAACTCTCTAGAGAGAAATTCATTCCATTGAATATCTAGTGAGTGGGTATGAAAGGGATGACGATTCCCCCTTTCAATGGCACATCTGCAGTTCCTTCAAGGTAAGCCTTTGGCAACCCAAAACAAATTCATTTTTTAAAAAGTTTTAATTTCCTTAAAAAAGATCTTATGGCTGCAGCATTTTTACATACATTACTGCATTCAGCTGAACAGATATCTCATTTTAGTCATTCATATTAACAATAGCATAAATAACTACTATGCAGAAGAGGGGAAATGGCCAAATCAATACCTTTTCATCATAGACAACTATATACATATAATACATTTTCTTTTTTGTCTGGGTTGGTTTTGGAAATTGCACAAATTGCGGGCAAACACTTCAGACTGGTTCTTTTCTTGTTTTCTTTACTTTTAAAAACAAGTAAATAGATTCAGAAAAAGTATATACAGCTGAAGATAGAAGGTTTGTGTTAAGGTGCTTACAATGGGAGTGGGGGTGTATGTGTGTTCAGTGCATTAAAAGAAGGGGATTGAAATCCCATCACTGTTCCATGTTAAGAAAAGAAACCTGTATTTTTGAAGGCTTTCATGGCCAGAATCATTGGGTTGCTGTGAGTTTTCAGAGCTGTCTGGTCATGTTCCAGAAGCATTCTCTCCTGACATTTTGTCTGCATCTATGGCAGGCATCCTCAGGGGTTGTGAGGTCTGTTGGAAACTAGGAAAATGGAGTTTATATAACTGGAATGATGTACAGAGTGGGAGAAAGAACTCTTGTTTGTTTGAGGTAGGTGTGAATGTTGCAGTTGACCATCTTGATTAGCATTTAATGGCCTAGCAGTTTCAAGGTCTGGCTTCTTACTGCCTGGGGGAATCCTTTTTTGGGAGGTGATTAGAAATGCTCACAGAAATGCTGGACCACTTTAACAAGTACCATATCAGACTACACAGAGAAGCCATTGAAATCCACATGTATTTTCAATAGAAAGGAAGAAACCATGAAAATGAACAAAATTTGGCTACCAGTATTTTAAAAAAAAACCTCTAAAATCATAACAGTAAATAAAGAAAAACACTCAAAAACATGAGAATTCCAGACAAAAAACAATGAGGGACAGCTAATCCCCTCCCAACAAAGGATTCCCCCAGATAGCAACCAGCCAGGCTTTGAAACTGCTAGGCCATTAAATGCCAATCAAGGTGGCCAATTCATAGCTACCTCAAACAGACAAGAGTTCTTTCTCTCACCCTGGACATTCCAAAGATATATAAACGCTGTTTTCCTAATTTACAACAGACCTCTGAGGCTGCCTGCCATAAATGCAGGTGAAATGTCAGGAGAGAATGCTTCTGGAACATGGCCATACAGCACAGAAAATGCACAACAACCCAAAAACAACTTGGAAAGAGGCCTGATGTGTGAAAGATAATGTATGTCAATAGGGACACTTCTCCCATGCCAGGCCCTTCAAAAGGCATATGGGCCTCAGGTGCAGAAGAAGGATCTTTGTAAACTATGGAACCTTTTGGATTTAGAGGTGAAACGTGGTTTGCTCTGTGTGTCGTGATTGTGCCTTTTCCTTACAACATTCTCTCTCTTCGCAATAGCTATTGGGATCACTCCAGGCCCATCTTCCAAATGTGATACCGAACAGTTCTTGGTTGCAAGAGTCATTGCTGCATTGTACATTTGTCATGTTGAATACTGCAATATTGGATGCGATTGTTATTACTTTTGGGAGTAAAGCTCTCTTTTGCAGACAAATCCAGTCAACAGTGAACTCCACCTTTTGCAAAATAATCCATTTGGAGTGGAATGTGTCCCACCTTTGCAGGATTATCCATTCTGAATGATTCCTTCTTTGCGCTTCTCCTCCTTGTTGCATTCTGTAGCACACCCTCTTCTTTTTGTCTCCTTTTTTTCTCTTTTAAGTGTGAAGTCTTCCTGGAGGTATCTTTGCATTGCTGAGAGGTAAAGGGGTTTTAGAGGCCACCTCACTCCTTTTCTGGCACCTTGAAAAGCTAAGGCTGGGCGCTTTGGTGAAGGACAGATCTCCCTTTGGAGTCTGCTCTGTGTGCGTCCAGTGTCTTAAGCAGAAGGAAATGGTGAAACCCAGTTTGAAGAGCCTTTGCCTGGCTTCACCTCCCTGCTCCTATGGGCAGTGTAGTTGCTATCAATGATGGGAGGGCAAACCGACACAAAGGATGGCCTCGGTGCCGGACCACACCGGGCAGCGAGGTGTCACCGAGTCCCTTGGTTGAGAAGCAGAGGCCTCAGTCCAAGTCCTTGCCGTTCTGGTCCTGATCTGCCTCTTGCTTGCGGTTGGCACTCTTGAAGAAGCCCAGCTGTAGAAATGCGAAGGTGACAAAAAGGCAGAGACGTCAGTTCTGCATTCATAGAGATATTGGTAGAAATTGACACCTTTTACAATGAGACCCCTGGCCTATGTCTATGTCTATTTGTTTATGTGATTTATATTAATTGTTTTGTATTGTTTTTGTTATTTCCTTTGTTTACTGTGGGCTTGGCCTCATGTAAGCCGCACCGAGTCCCTTGGGGAGATGGTAGCGGGGTATAAATAAAGATTATTATTATCATTATCATCACCATCATCATCATCATCATCTCTGTCATGTGCGCTTTTGCTTTTTCCTCCTCCGCCACTGGTACATGACCCATCTCCAAACCAGTAAATGTTAACACCTGATGAACCCACCTAGACACAGCATAGTATTTGAGAACACCGAAATGCTGGACCACCAACAGTCACCATGCTAGACTACACAGGGAAGCCATTGAAATACACAAGTACGTGGACAATTTCAACAGAAAGGAGGAAACCATGAAAACGAACAAAATCTGGCTACTAATATTTTACAAACTCTAAAATCAGGACAGTAAATATAAGACAGTAAATATAATTCCCCGAAAAGCAGGGGAATTCCATACATGAAACAATCAGGGCCAGCTAACACCTCCCAACAAAGGATTCCTCCAGGCAGGAAGCAGCCAGCCTTTGAAGCTGCAAGACCATTCAGTGCTAATCAAGGTGCTAATCACACCTACCTCAAAGAGTGAAGGGGGGGGGGGAGGAGACAGTTTCAGCTTGTCTCCTGCATATGTCATCAGCTGGGGATCCCTCCCCCAGAACCAACCACTGCTCTGGGCCAGAGTGAAGAGAGAAGGGGCCAGGGGACAGTTTCACCTTGTCTCCTGTGCTATGCTAATAATATAATATTATATATTGTATATATAATATAATATATTGTATATACATATAATATTATAATGCAATGCAATATAATACTACTAATATGATAATTATATATTTATATTACATGTAATATTACTAATAATATTTAATATTATTAGTAATATTACATGTAATATAAATATATAATTATATCAGTAATATTTAATACTGATATTGTACTATGCTAATAACATAATATATTGTCTGTATATATATCTTGTAAGCCGCTCTGAGTCCCCTTCGGGGTGAGAAGGGCAGCATATAAATGTCGTAAATAAATAATAAATAAAATAATTTGCAGCATTCACACTTGCCTCGAGCAGACAAGAGTTCTATCCTGGACATTCCACAGATATATAAACCTCACTTGCCTAGTTTCCAACACACCTCACAACCTCTCAGGATGCCTGCCATAGATGTGATTGAAACGTCAGGAGAGAATGCTTTTGGAACATGGCCAAGACAGCCTGGAAAACTCACAACAACCCAGTACTTGTATTAGTTTGTATAATCAACCCTGCCTTAAACTGCCAATTTCAGTACACATAAATAGAATAACTTCATTGCCATTGTACATCGCACAACAAAATTAAATGCCTTTCCCAATCACATATTTGTAGCATTTCAAAAAACAAAATGCCCATCCTTCCACATTCAAATCACTCTTGCACAACCTCTAATGTCACATCAGCATGAAATATAGTCACCCACACACACACCCACACATATAATATAGTCACAGCTAGAGTAAAATCTCTCTCAGCCTATTTGTCCTTGTATTCTTTTATCACCCTATCCCATCTGCCAGATAGTAATAGTTCAAAAAAAGGATATCCGGGGTGAGATGGATCCTTAAGAATATTCTGAGCTTTCTTAAGTCAGCAGGAATTATAAAGTTCTTCCAAAGAGGGGAGAAAGAGGATAACCCATCATTCTCTGGGCAGGAGTGATAGGTAACCCTCTGGAGCGCCTTCCTATCTGCCACTGTGTAATTGCCAAACCATACACAGATGCAGTAGGTTAGAATACTCTCTATAGCACAGTGGTGGAAAGTCACCTTCAGTTTTTCATTCAGTGGTTGGTTCCTTAAAAGTCTCAAATAATAATATAATCTCTGCTGGGCCCTCTTCACCAACGCAGTTGCACTATGAACACTGGCCCAGGTCAAGTCTTCCTGAACAATGTAGCACCCAGGAAATTAAAACTGGCCACACCAATCAATGAGAAGATGCAAAAATATGACAAATGACTTTTGTCCCAAGTATTATTGTTATTAGTTCTCTCTCTCTCCCCCCCCCCCCCCCCGAGCTGCTGAACTTGCTGACTGAAAGAATGGCAGTTCAAATCCCGGGAGCGGGGTGAGCTCCCACTGTTAGCCACAGCTTCTTCCAACCTAGCAGTCTGCAAACATGCAAATGTGAGTAGATCAACAAGTACTGCTTCTGCGAGAAGGTAACAGCGCTACATGCAGTCATGCCGGCCATATGATGTTGGAGGTGTCTACGGACAACGCCAGCTCTTTAGCTTAGAAATGGAGATGAGCACCAGAGTCCTAGGTTCAGACAAGACTAAACTTAATGTTGGGAAACCTTTACCTTTGCCTATTGTTGTTGTTATGCTTATTTACACCTCGCTTTTACTCTCCATAAGGAGACTCAAATGTGCAAAACACTGGGGTCAACTATATTGTGTCTTCTTAGTGCCTATGTTCTAACCAAGAGCAGTGTTCCTAGTTGTCTGTTTCAGTGGACAGACAGACAACAGACACAGATGCAAGGACTGATGGCATCCTACCTTCCACAGCGCCAGCACCAACAGTCCTAGCAGCAAGAGGCCACCCAAAGTGCTCCCGATGATGATCCAGATGGGAACCTGGGAGTCCTCCACTTTGGAGATTTCAAATACAATCTGCAAGAGTAGCATACAAGGCAGGTATTAGTGTGCAGCTCTTCTAATGAACCCAATGATGACCATGAAAGAATGCTGATAGATGCCCCTTTCAGGGAACATTGAAAGAAAGGGATGATGGAAGAGGAAGAAGAGGAAATGGAAACAGCAACAGTCTGGTTTGCCTTTAGTTGATCTGGTTGCCTTTTGTATTTTCCTTCTTTATTCCATTGGAAAGTACTTCTGGCAAATGCCAGGAGAGGGCAGCAGTATCCCACTTTTTTTTGAAGACAAAAAGTGTACTGGTTAGTTTAATGTGTTGCTCAATTGTCTGTTGTCTGCAAGATATTAATTAAAGTGAGAGTCCCTTTCTCCCACATCACATACACACATCTCTTTCATGACAGACTGATTCCTCATTCATGCCCATAATACAGGGTGAGGCAGCATAACTTCCTTTTTTAAAATGCGCGCCATTTAATCCGTTGAAGACGTAGCTGAGTGCTAGTGGTCTCGTTGGAGAGGCAGGAGTATAAAGTTTTGTCCTGACAGAGTTCAGTCACCATCATGCATTGGAACATTGAGGAGTTTGCTTTTGCCGTTGAGGCCACTTTTCAAGTGGATTTGGAGTGGCTGGCCCGCTCTCCAGATTTGGCCCCTTGTGATTTTTTTCTGGGTTTTTTTTTAAATCCCGTGTTTATGTGAACCGTCCAAGGACCCGACAAGATTTGAAGACCAACATCCAGGAAGAAATTGCCAACATAATACCTGCTATGCTGGCAAGAGTCATGGCAAACGCCAGAAATCGGTTTACTCAGTGTATGGAGAATGCAGGGGCGGCTCAACCCATTATGCAAAGTAAGCATTTGCAATATAGTTGATTTTGCCCAGGGGTGCTCTTGAGGTGCTCTTGGGGGAAAATAGAACTTGACATATGCAAGTTGTAGTTACTGGGATGTATAGTTCACCTGCAATCAAAGAGCATTCTGAACTCCACCAATGATGGAATTGAACCAAATGTGGCACACAGAACTCTCACGACGAACAGAAAATATATATAACTGATTGGTTGGGGGGGGGGGGCAAAATACTGTTTGCTTACTGTTGAAAATTACCTAGGGCCGCCTCTGGGAGAATGGAGAATGGGGGACGTTACCTACCTAATTTGATCTTCAAAACTACGTAAAACAAAACTTTAGGTATGCGCCTACATTATAAAACAAAATTCTGATTCATACAATGTGTTTTATTAAGTTTTGAAGAAAGGAAGTTATGCTGCCCAAAATGTTATGTTATTTTTGCAGGACATCCTGCTATAGCACATTTTGCTATAGTTTTTCAATGAATAACTCATCCGATTCTCAACCAATTCCACATACTTTGTGGCAGCCACAATAACAAAGTTTCTGGAGTAGAACAACTATTTTCAAAGTAGGTCTTTTCCAATTAAACTTTCAAACCTGGAACAGAACATTTTTCACATTTTGTTACATAGAGTAATTCCTACAGAGAGCTGCTTGAGCCCCAAAGGCCTGCATCTGATGGGTAAATATTCAGCCTGAGGAGACCCATTGTATGAATGAGATTAAGGCAAGTGTTGGTCATCGTTCAATCGTTGATTCAATGCTCTGTTGTCTTGAGGATGGATTTGGAGATGGATCTTGGCACTTTCCAAAGCCAGACTCCCAGCCCTCTAAACATGAATCCCAGGTGTAAATACTGTTGAAGTTCCAAGTAGATTGCAAGATGTCAGAAGTTGGGGCTATCATCCTCTGGGCAAGCATGAAGAGAAGGGGAAGCCAAGGGGCTCACCTGCCGGCTGGGATCCTCTTCTCGAAAGACAAAGGCGCTGCGGAAGCCTCTCTGCAGAGCGGCATTGATCACGAACCTCAGGGACTTGAATTTCATCTGAAATGGCAAAGAGGAAGAGTTTAATGGGGCAGGAATATGGGATGATGCAATGACCTCTGTTTAAGTAATAATAAAAGTGATGCTCCAGAAGACCAGAGGAAGTATTGATCCTTGACAGTGACCAGTCTGGGCTTGATTCCAAAGGAGCTATCCAAGGTGTTGGACCAGTTTTGGAGATGATTTTCAGCACTTTGGAGAACTCCTTGAAAGCCCAGAATAGAATAACTTCTCGGACTCGTGGACCTAAAGATATGGCCTTAAATCACTGTTTATTTTAGAAGTTTGATTTCGCCAAAGTTGGGTGAGATTTGGGGGCTGGAGCATTGAATAAAATGGCACTCCCGCTGCTTAATTGATGGCTATGTCCAGCGGCAGAGAATTCCACCTGGCCTTGAAGACATCAGGCCTATTGAGATGCTAATTTGTTTTGTTTTGCTAAAGTAACTAGAGACCCCTGTTTATCAAGGCATGTACTTTCCCTCTCCTCCATATCTTCTTTCCTTACTTTGCAAACCAACGATGCATCGCTTGGGACATCCCGTTGTACGAGGAGAGAAAACGGGTGAACTTAGAAAGAAGTGTCTATAATTCCCCCTTTGTCTAGTATATTAGGTGTTGAATTTCAAAGCAGGGAAGAAGCCCTCGTGCTCCTCTCGGTGCCAAAAGGGATGCAGCTGCTCCTGATTTATCTGTTGGTGTCGCGAAAGCAATCTCTGTCGATGTGGCACCGGGAAGAGTGGCCCGCCTCTTTCTCTCAGCTAAGGATGAGACAAGAGGTTTCAATTTGGGAAGCAGCTGGAGAGAAGACATGATCACCATGTATAAATATGTGAAAGGATGCCATAAATAATGAGGAGGAAGCAGGACTCATTTTCTGCTGTCCTGGAGACTAGGACTCAATGAAGCCATGGGTTCAAACTGCAGGAAAGGAGATTCCTCTTAAACATTAGGAAGAACTTCCTGACCATAGGGAGAGCAGCCGAGCTGTTCAGCAGCCGAACTCTCTGCCTCAGAGTGTGGTGAAAGCTACTTTTAAATAGAGACTGGCTGGCCATCAATCGGGAGGGCTTTGGTTGTGCTTTTCCTGCCTGGGTTTGGACTGGATAGCCCTTGGGTTACCTTGCAACTCTATGATTCTATGAAAGTGGAGCTACCTTAGGCATTGCTGGAGTCTGGGACCACTTTGGGATACAGGCAGCTTGGGTTTGAAGAGCCCTGCCTGATTTGGAGACCGCTTGGTACCGATGCCTTTGCCAGCTGGCCCTTACCGCTCTTAACGACTTCATCCAGAGGTTGCCATACAAGAGGAAGCTGACTTCTCCATTGGCTGCCAGGTTCACATTGCAGTCTATTGAGATCACATCAGAGTTGCTGTGATTCTGGAGGAAAAGGAAAAAGGAGAGACGGTGTCGGACAGACTGATGTGCACAGTCAACCTTCCATCATTCCCTATGAGTTTGGTTCAGTTTCCCATCCCAACCCTCCCACTGTCTGTTCCTATTGAAGGCATATTCAAATACTCCCCCTCCTCCCAAATGACTCCATTTTCTTCAGTAATCTTTCCAAAATTATAGCAGGAAATCACATCCCCTCGATTCACTATTTTGTGAAGTGCATGTAAGAAAACTAAAGGTTTCAAAAAACGGTGAGGGGTTCTGCATGGGGAATGTCTGTAACTGTTGGTATGCATTCAAGGGGCTTTTGTGTGCTTTATAGGGAAAAAAATACCAGAATGGCAAAACAACAACAACAATTTGGAGAAAAGGATGTAGGGCTTTTGTAGGACCTAAAAGTGGGTCCCTAAAGGCTAAAACAACTGACATGTTGACTGAATGACCTCCAAGGGCATTTCACCTGACACTTCCGCTTGCAAGTTGTTGTCACCTGGTCAGATTCTGAGTGTTCGGAAGATGAGGTTGGGGACGCTGGGAGAGATTCAGAGGGCCCAGAGAGAAATGTGTCAGAATCTCCTGGCAGTTCCCAAGAGAATGGCAAAGGCCATTCTCATGGGAACCTGCCAGAAGTACAGACTGAAGGAAATGGGGGAGACAAATGTTTGTCGAGGCCAGAAAGATTGGAGTTGAGACAACAGGGCCTGCAATTAAGGACTCGCTCCTCCAAGCGGTTTCAAGATAAGGCCGGGGAAAGCAGGCGCAAATGAAATGATCTCATGGGAGGGGTTTTGGCTTTTAAAAAGTGGTTCATGTTGATACAATCTTTGCGAGAGCAACGCTGCATTCAGGTACAGACCTCTCGATGTCAAGGACCATGAAATTCATGTAATCAAGTGTCAAGCTGTTCCTGCGTTCTGGTCTTGTGAGGCATAGTTTTGCTTGTCCTGAATTTAAGTCCCTTGTCTTTGAATGGCATAGTTTTGCCTGCCTTGGATTGATATATTATGTCTTTGCATATCACGGTGGAGTTATTTTAGAGACTTTCTCTAAAGTGA